AATAAAGGAAATTAGAGCCAAGACAGGATGTTAGTGTCTAAATAATTTGAATTTTCAGTCTATTGCGAAAAACAATACCTCAGAGCCAGGGTTTGGACCTGGAAATATAATTAAGTTGCACGTTAAAATAAAACATACTATAAAATTTGCTGCGACACAAAGTTACTTAATTATACGATGTCGACTAACGTGTCAATGTGACCACGTCAATGCATCCAGTTTCAATTAAAGCACGGCAAATCGCGTCGACTACGACTAAAATCCAACGAGCCGCGTCCGATTCGGACAATCTACCGGCCAGACGTCGTCTTCAGACGCCGATCGCCGGACGCTCCGTCGAGCCGCTAGCCGCTTAAGTTTAGCCGCGCCGAAACAATCCGTTTAGGCCGACAATCTCGTTCACAATTACGAAGTTTGTTGCGCCCGGCGAAAACCCGTCGCGGGAGCAGGAGGCCGGCGGGGGCAAGGAACAAGGAGGCAAAATCCATCTGGTGATTTCACAGGCAATTATGCCGCGTCGCCGTGGCCGGGCGCGGGTGGCTTACTCTTATTTAACGCCAATGTGGGCGCGCGGCGCACGCCTCGCCGACCACCGGCGCCAATCGCTCGCTCGCCCGCCCGCCCGACCGCCATCCCATTTGCGCGAAATTGTCAATGATAGAATGGCACGAGAGATCGAAAACCCCCGCATTCAGCGGCCCCACGTTCTCCCTTTCCCTGCGGCATTCTTCTCTTTTTTCTCTCCTCTCTCTCTCTCCCCCCCTCCCTCTCTCTCCTTTTTTCCCTTCCTCGTCTCTTTCCGACCCAAAAAACCGACCGCACGGCTTGGATTTCTTCCTTTATCAGTTTAGCCGAGGAATTTTCGCGTACGAATCGCCCGTTTTCCGATTTCAAGGGAGCCCACGTGTGATACCTGGGGGCACAGGGACGAAGTGTTCCTTGGTTTTTTTTTTCTCAGGAGATACTCTAATCTACCCCCTGAAACTGTGTTTGGCCAGATATATGTTCAAAACCGTCCGGGATATCTATTTCTCTTTGTTTAGTGAAACCATACAACGTGAACCATAAAACTTTAACGCGGGTCACACCATTAGATTACTATTGGCTCGATTATCGTTGATTGTATAATCTAACGACCAGATATCTCGGCGCCCAGAGACATCTGTCCTTTTTAGAGCGCCGTGACCTCTACAGTTGGGAGATAAATGGAATATCGTAGACATGTCCTTCACCGCGCGCGGGGACGGTATCTGCTTGTCCCATTTTGAAAATTAACAATCAGAATTCGTCGACGGATCTTTAATATAAACACGCGCGGCTTACGAGATTACGTCGTGGCGGAATCGCGCGACACGTTTGCCGCCAAGTCCTCGTAATTTCGCGTGCGAGTTGGCGCCGCCTGCCGTGGAATTGCGAGGTAATCGCGACAGCCCCGAAGAAGCTGTCGCGCTTCTCCTTTTGCCATCGCGCGAAACTTCTTCGCGCCGCGTACTCCTTCGCGCAAAGGGACCCCCCTGCCCCCTCTTCGCGATTATTCCCGAAAGAATTGGCCTGGAAATCATGGTTGTATTGTAAGCGATTTCCTTCTAATTTTCTTTCGCGCGAGAAGAATCTCGTTTTCCTCGCCGAGCTCCGGTCCGAGGGATGCCAATATTATCCCGCCGCTCGACTCTCGGACGCTTTTATCGGACTTTAAACAATTGTTATTCCCTTTTATTTAATTCATATAATTGCCAAAATTCGTCGTCTCCTCGCCTCGAGTTTTAAATCGTTTGAGTAAACGCGCGCTTCTGCCTCAATCGTTGTCTCTGCTGAAGCCACGATAGAAGACGCTGTTACTTACACGGCATTTGTGTCAGAAAAATTTCATTAAGATATCTTTTTAAAGATCATTTTTTGAGTAATAAAAAAAAGGCTACCATATAAATATATTAAGATGTCTCTTATACGAGGTCTAAAGCCACACGATGCTATTTTTTCTACTGGATTGCTTGCGAGAACCAATAAGGATGCACAGGTTTAGATCAGGTGACTTAAGGCTAAGTCCTGATTGACTCTCGTAAGTAGTCCAGTAGGAAAAATAGTATCGTGTGCCGTTGGCTTAAAAGGCATCTTGTTTGAGAGATTTCTTATAACCCTCGTATGATTTTCCCTCATACAATTTCTATCCTTTACATTGACAAAACTTCCTTTTGAACTGCTTGTTAAAAATTTCTCACCGAAGACTTTGCGTTTTAAATATCTTAGAATATACGTCTTATTGTAACATACACAAAATTTCCGTACACAAAAATTTTCAATAATTGGAGCACTATTGCAACAGCATATTCCTGAGACAAAATCAAGTAAAAAAAGTACTAATTTTCCCTCCGACAAACAGTTATCGAGATATCATAAGCTAAATATTGAAAAAGTTGGCAATTTTCTCTTGAACATCTCAAAAAGTACTAGGCAAATAAAAAATGGTTCAGACAAAAGTAGTTCATATTATTTAGTAGAATAAGATAGTATGATAAACAATAGGGGGTTCCATTTTTTAAAAATAGAGGTGACCTTGAAATCTCCGAAGCGCCTCCACTTTTTGAAAAAATATTACTAACACGTTATGGCTCCCTCAATATAGTACAACTTTCGTTATTACAATTCTTTTTGCATATCTCTAAAAATAGCGGGGATATTCGAGGCGGACAGAATTATTGCCTCACCCTGTATATGTGTATTACAGGATATCTCAAAAAGTTATCTTTCCGACGACTTTTGAAAGAAGTCTTTCATTTCTCTGCAAGTGACGCATAAGAGGCTCTTTCCGAATTCATTATGTTACCTTGCCGAAGGTATTTTTGGATGTCCAAATCTTCAATGAGAGAACATTAAGAGATCCTTCTGTTATTATCTCGCCGCGTGAGTACGGAAGAAGAATGGCAGTCCTCAAGATTACCGTCCGTTTCCAATACGGCCAGCCGACGTGTCGCCTCGGGTCTCGCTTCTTACCTAAATAACAGCCCATTTCCTTTATATCCCTGCGCCTATATACACACACACGCACACACACACCACCCCCTAAGGTCCCCCGGTTTCTTCCTTCCTTCCTTCCTCCTTTTTCGAGAACGACAATTTGTTGCCGGGCGCGAAGTCGAGTTTTCCCGAATGTCGCCAATGGGATTAGCGCGGCGAGAAGCGGTAATCAGGAATAAAAATGCGTCAACCGGCGGCATTTACGCTAACTAATCTCCTTCGGCGGGCGGAGAGGCGCTAACGGAGTTAGCCGGGCTTCGTCGCCCAACATCTCGCTCTTTCCCCCCCCCCCTCTCTCTCTCTCTCTCTCGCTCTCTTCGTGTCGCTCGACCGTCGCTTGTTAGCCGGGTAATTGGCCATTTTTATGCTAAGCAGAGCCTCCTCGTCGTCGACGTCGCCGTCGTCGTCGTCGTCATCGTCTTCGTCGCCATCATCGCCAGCATCCCCTCGCATCGCGCGTCTTTCTTCCGCCATTTCGCGGCTTAACCCCGCGAATAATGCTCTCCTTTTGGCCACGTTCGCCATTATTCGGCGGCGGATACGGAGGTCATCGCGCGCAAAACTCGCGCGATATCGCGGCCGTACGTGCCGCACCAGGACGGCGAGACACGCGACATCATCCACCGGCGGTTTCTACGCGATGACAATATGCTAACATTTCCGCGTTTACGCTAGCGAGCTCATTATCTGCCGCCGCGCGATGCGCTCTTCCAGCCCCGGTCGAGGTCCACCTTCTTCCTCCCCTCAGCCGAGCGTAAGCGCGAGGCGTAATCCGGATGCTCGCGGCCCCGCGAAGCTCCGCCGCGACTCTCCTCGTGCTCGCCGACTTAGCGCCGGCAACTTTTCGTATTAATAATCGGTATAATAATTAGTATTTTCACGCGCGACTTAGCAGGAAGGACGCGCCGGCGTCGACGTCGGCGCCTCGCGGGGGAGGAGGTGGGAGAGGGGGGGGGGGCCTGGGAAGTTCGTCTAAGATCTTGATTTTAAGTTCGCCGGGGCGAAGGAGGCGCATATTTCACCGCGCTAATGTCCCGCCAGATAAACTACAATATTAGCTGCCTTCGCCCGTGATTTAATTTAACTTTGCCCCGGCGCGACATCCGCCTCCTCCGGAGCTCGCGCGCGCCCCCCGCGAGCTGCCGCCGCGGTGCTCGCCGTTTACCCGGTAAAACCTCCACCGCGAGTTACGCGCGGGTGTGGATTCTCGTTCGAGATCGATTCCTCGAAGAGCGCACGGAGGACTCGGCTGCCCCGAAACGCAGATGATTCTCGTCTAATCGTCGTTCCGTGTTTGCGTCACTTTCATGGCAGTCGCATTGACTTTGCTGTCTCGCCGTCCTGTCATCGATAAGGAAAATATATAAGATAACCACCGTCACCTTATACGACATCGTGTCTTTATTTCACGCGGTTTGCACGATTAGGATTATCTGAGCGAGGGGGCGGAAAATGGTTTTGTTTCAGTTTTATCGTCATATTTGTATTGTTGAGTTTTGAGTGTAGAAGAAAGTCCCCTATTATGAAATAGAATCTCTAAGATGGGCTAGCGGGGTTTCTGTTAAATTAACAGGCATCGTCAGTTGATGCCACCATGAGTTTAGTGGAAAATTCGTTGTGAAAAAAGATTTGTGAATTGAATTTCAGTGTTCGAACCTGCTATCTCATATTAGAAACCTAGAATAAAGGACTTTCCTCTACCAACAGTACATTCTTTCGTCGTGAAAAACGTTGGCCTAACCTGAGGAAAGATTCGGCTTAAGCCAGCGTCGCCTTCTGGTTCTTCAGCACGTCCTCCGCGAATTTGTCCCCCTTGGAAAACCGAGCGTAACTGTAATAGTTTGAGCAATGTGGATTATAACGGATGCGATTTCAATTTCTTCAAACGGATAAGTTGAATTTCTTATCGCTCTAATCTTCTTCGTACACTTACATCTTGGTGTATTTAAATTTCTCGACGGCGGACAAGGATGGCCTCGTCGACCTGACGGACTCCTCGAGATGCGTTTGCGTGACTTTGATGGCGGTTGCATCGACTTTGCCGTCCTACCATTGATAAGCAAAGTATATATAATTCATAAGGCTCTGATGTGAAATCACAGTCGAAAGAATAAAGGAATAAGAGCAGGATGTTAAATGTCTAAATTATTTTTTAATCATTTAGACACTAATATCCTGCCTTGGCTCTTGTATCCTTTATTCCTTCGAATTGTGATTTCACGTCAAAGCCTTGTGAATTTTGTTGTTTAAATAATTTCAGAGGCGCCCGCCCAGAGTGTAGGGAGGTCCAGGCTCAAACCCTGGCTGAGGTAATATTTTTCGCAATAAATTTTGAAATAAAAATTATTTAACAAGAATAAAGACTTATTGTCGCCAGTAAATAATTAGCCAATGTAGGAAAATTAATAAACGGCACAACTCGCAAATTCTAATTGAGAAATTTGAAAATATATAAGATAACGTACAATTGGAAAAAGGGGGTAAACTACTGACGTACAGATTTGCGGCATTTTTCGGGCATTAGTGGGTGATATTTGGTCTTGCTGGGACGTTATAAAGAATCTAAAAAGGTGAACCCGATAAAACAAGATAAAATAAGATAAAGTGATGCCCGCTGTCGAATTTTAATGCATTAGTAGGCATTGGTGTACATGATTTTGGTCAGCGATTTACCCCTCGGTGGAAAAACCACGTGAATTATACATTCATACATCAACACTTTTATGTTTCTGTCATATATGTTTTAATTGTATATTTAAAACGTACATCTACGTTTATACGTCATTTCGACGGCGCGAGAAAAATGTTGCCGAGTCTGAAAATACTGCAAGAGCCTAATGTTGCGTGTTAACAACGATTTGAATTAATTATTGGAGTTAAGCACAATCTGCAATCCGCCTCGGAAGACACCCTCCCATGTTCCTATCCGCATAATCACTTATCACAAGCGAGGCGCCTCCCCCCTCCCTCTCTCTCTATCTCTACATCTTTCTCTCGCTCACTCGAGATGCGTCGCGCTCTCCAGAAACTCGCTCGCTAATTAGACGCACAGTTTGGATACTCGCGTTCTTCCGGGAGGTAAGTGCCGCCGTATAACTTCGTTTTCTCCGATGCGTATTAATTAATAGCTTCCCATGAGGCGCGCCACTCGTTCCTCGTATACCTCGTAGACGCTCCCGACCTTTTAACGCAGGGGCCCGATTAATTCGGATTAATTTGATCGGGTTGCATACGCACGCATCGGTGAATGAATTTACGCTCGTCTCTGTAATAATATGGAATCACGCGCTCCTATACTCTCACGTTTTCTTTTATCCTCCTAAATAAAAGTTGGAGAATGAAAATTGACGGACATCAAGATATTCAATGGATCTGCACAAACTCTTAGACATGATTCGGCTAAACTACTCTAGCGGAAAAAATTTCTATAAGTAACTACAAAAATTGACTTGAAAGAGAAATTTGTAGAAATTTTTATATCTTCGTTGAAACATTAATTTTTTTAATGAGAATATGCTTCAAGGGAGACGCCCGCCTAGAGTGTAGGTAAGTCCAGGTTCAAACCCCGGCGGAGGTGATATTTTTCGCAATAAATTTTCCGTATTATTAAAAATGCCAGATATGGCCAAGAAAATACTGAAGCTATTAATTTTTTTTTTTGTAAAAATATCTACGAAATAATATCACAAATTGCAATGTTCTCAAATCAAGAAATTATTGCGAGTAGTATTTCATGAAAATGTAAAATTTTGTAAAAATGAGTACAAAACTCTACTGGTTAAAAAATTTTGAGAAACAACAAAATCTTAAAGAATTAAAACATCTACTTACTTGTAGAATATTACAAAAATTAACAAAAGTGTTTCAAGTCTAGCATTTTCATGTTGATTTTATAACACTTTTTTAATTTACGTAAAATTTCTTAGATTCTGGCAGTTGTATTTTATAGTTTAGAATTTTGTAGAATCATTTCCGGTGGGGCATTACCCTCCAGGGAAATTTTAATTAACGTGTGAGCAAGATAAATAATTGCTATCCATTCAAACAAAAGTATTTCTGTTAACCATTAATGTCATAAACGCTTTTATGTTTATTTAGCGGAAAAGTTGCTAAACCGAGTCAATAAATAAACAAATGGACGAGCGCGCGTGACCGGAGAATTGACGGCAGACACGTCGAAGACGTCTGAGGGGCTAACGAGCGCCATAACTAGCGGAATGGCTGTCTGGCTTTCGATCTTGCAGGACCGCTGCGGGGCCCTAAACCGTGTATCATTATAACGCATAAGATAATAACCCCCTCGACGTTCAGCGAGGCGTAGGGAGGCCGGGGGATGAAGCGAAGCGCCTGAAGGGGGTGGCCCGGTCGCCCGGCGCTCTCGGCACCGTGTGCTAATAAACCTGGTCTACGTTTCCTCGGTTATATCGCGGCACCTACAGCCCCACCTCCCACGGCCCCCCTTCGATCCACCCCCTATCCCCCGGCCCGCGCCCGGGCGCGCCCTCCCCCCCGTGTGTACGCACACCGTAGGGTGCACACCTAACGATATTATCGTCATTACGCACTATCTTACTTCGGAAGCCACCCTACAAATGATTCTCGGGAGTCGCGCGAGAAGCGCTTTTCATTACGACGCTGCACAGAAACTACCGCGGCAACGACAACAACAACAGCGAAACGGTTCGGCCATTAGCGGTGCGATCTTGCCGTTCGTCGGAGAGTCCGAGTCGACGTGGCGGCTTAAAAGTTCGAGCCGACAACCGAAACTTCGATTATCTTGGATAAATACGTGACGCAGGGGACAATTTTTATCTGTGCTCAAGCTCTTTTATGTTTTATAAATATTATTTTACGTTTCTACGCATTCCTCTGCGGGCAACGAAACTCACGGAGACTCGAGCAATGATCAAAGAAAGAATAGCGCACGATTAGTATACAAATTAACATTAACCCTTTAATTACGGTCAGTTGGACGCGAAGCTGTACCACTCGCACAGCTCGTCCGCAAAGTTCGAGTAAAAAGAACGTTATACTGATTAGACGAGTTGAAATTAAAACAATCGAGGGAGTGTTCCTGCTTGATAATTTCAAAATATGGGAAAGAGTCACCAGCTCTCTTCCAAAAGATTGTTTAAACAGAAGTCATTGTGATGGCGTTTTATTTCAAAAGCTAAAGTAGCGGGAAGCCACTGTAGTGGCACGTAGTCCAAGGGTTGGTATACAAACGCACTCACCGTCGCGGTCGCCAAGGCGTCCTCGAACGCCGACAGTCTCGCCAAAGTAATCGCCGCGTTGATGTCAGCCCCGGTAAATCCGTCAGCGAGCTGGGCTAGTATCTTCAGATCCAGCTCGACCGTGTCTACATTTTGGGAGCCGCACAGAACCGTGAAGATCGCCCACCTTTCCGGCTGAGACAAAAAGCGAGCATTATTACTGTACAATTTAACACGAGGCCGCGTTGAGTTTTAGAAGGGTCGCCAAAAATTTGCTCACCTCGTTCGGTAAAGGGCAGTGCAAACACTTGTCGAGGCGACCCGGTCTCAGAAGAGCCGGGTCCAACAAGTCGGGCCGCGAGGACGCTGCCACGACTGCCACCCCTTCGCGATCCTCGACCCCGTCAAGCTGCGTCAGCAGCTGGTTCACCACCCGATCGGTGACTCCGGTGCTGTCGTGTCCGCGTCTAATCAGGACAAAATGCACGCGCTCGTCAAGATAGAAAAGGAAGTGTAACAGACATGGAGTGTTATTCGACCAGTACTGGCAGAAATTTATTGTGAAAAATGTATTGCCTCGGCCAGGGTTTGAACCTGGCCCTCCCTCAAGGGATACATTTCCACAATTCTTCTCCTTCAATTTCCATAAATTTCTGCCAGTTCTGATTTCATAATATTATACAATAGTATATAATTAAATAAATATTATACAAATAGGAGGAAGACTAAAACGAAAAAAAATGTAAGTTCCGATAACTGTCCATACATTTATGAATATGTTTGTCCACTTGGTTATCTGTTTATTCATTTACATTTCAGTTTAACTTGAGCTAATTGTAAGTATTTTTTTAAGGCACGCTTCGCTCAAGTTACGATTACGATTGCGCAAACGCACAATAGATGTAATATTTAATATGTGGAATACTTATGTCGACTATCATATTACTATCATTAGAATACTAACGATAGAAAGTGGAATAGGTAAATTTTGTATTGTCACTTGTCCTATGACTCACCTGGGTGCAAGACTATCGAATTCGTCAAAGAACAAAACGCACGGCTTGGCGCGACGGGCTCTGTAACACAATGCAATAAATTTTTAAGGATTCGCATCGAGTCCGAGCGCCAACCTTGAAAGAAGGGAGGGTAAAAGTCTCGAGGAGTCATATTATACCTTTCGAATACATTTCTCACGGACTCCTCGCTGACGCCTATGTACTTCGACAACAGTTCTGGACCCTGAAATAAAACTCACTGTTGTTTAGAGGCTACCGCCTGTTGTCATTTAATTGCATGGTTAACTTATTATTTTAATGAAGAGATTATTTGAAACGCGTTAAGAATCACGAACAAAATATTACTAAAGATTACTGATAAATATAATTTATGCCTAATTACAATTTACGAAGATTCACTATACGACGACTCCTCTGTGAAGTACATTACGTGATTCTAACTATAAAATCATTCTCCACGTTGTAATTCGTCGTAATAATTGCAACAGATCCGAAGATAAGATGAAACTGATTGCAAAATCTATTTTACGTCAGATTAAAAAGGAATCTTGGCTCCACCTTGATGCTGATCAGATTCACGCCGCACTCGCCGGCGATCGCTTTGGCCAGCATCGTTTTCCCGGTGCCGGGCATCCCGTATAACAGAACGCCGCTCTGGAGCTTTATTGGAGCTTTCTTGAAGATCTCCGGATACTTGAGCGGCCACTGCAGAATTTCCGTGAGGGAGCTCTTCGTGTCCGCTAGCCCGCCGATGTCGGACCAAGAATGACCCCCGCTCTTGTACAACTGCACACCCTGCAGGGACATCGGCGTGCAACCCTCCAGTGCGACGTTAACGTCCTCCTCCGTTACGACAATCGGCGCTTCCAATCTTTCTGCCGCTTCGAATAGACAGAAATGCACGAGCATAACTCGTTAAAGACAATCGAGTTAAAAGAGCACAATTTTCCCGGATTTGAAATGAAGTACTAAAAGCGTTAAGTAAATTGTCTAGTGATCATTTTATAAAAATAGCCATTAATTGTCGCCGCTTGTGTGACACATTGCCGTTTGCTTTTACTGGTAGTATTTTTTTTCCATTCAATTTCTTTATTTGAAATTACTGTGGTATCCACTAATACTTTTCTAATCGTTCGTCTATCTCGTTACCGTGGCGCTTCCACGCGGCGAACCGTGCCTTCTCCGCCAGGTCGACGAGATCCTGGGGCACCCAGCCCTCGGTCTTGTTTCCATAGTAATTCCAATTCATGTCTCCGGGCACGCATAACTTGTCCTCGAGCGTTAATCGCAAAATATCGATTCTATCCACCTGGTTAGCCACGACACGAGTTAGTGTTACGCAGAAATCAACGAGAGAACGTCCCAACTTACACGGGATGGGGGAACTTAATTAAGAAGGTGCGGAAACACGAAGACACGTTAATCGAGAAATGTATCAACGAGCAAGATGTCAGTGGCGAAGAAAGGAAGGAGACACGAAAGGAATCAATATAAAATCGCATGAATTTTATACTCTTCTCTCGCGTCTCTCCTTTCGTGTGAACTTCTAAATTCGATCGTGCGTGTTTCGTACTAAAGAAAATACAAATTAAAAATCAAATCTTACGGTATTTAAATTAAATACAATATACAACAAGCAATGAACGTACAATGGACATACACGGAGAGAATTTTCTCTTAAAATTTACCCTGAAAATCGTGTAATCGTGGGACAACATGGCATTTCAAAGAACTTCATAAGAATTTTTCGAAATTTTACCACACATTCTACCAGTAATAAAATTTCAAAAAAACTCAGAAAATTCTCCAAAATGCCACGTTGTCCCACGATTACATAATTTTCAGGATAAATTTTACGAGAAAATTCTTTCTGTGTACAATCGTTGAAGAATTTCTTTAAATTCCTGTTAATTAAACATGAGGTTAAATTGGTTTTCCTCAGATGTCACGCGTGTTATTTTTGGAAGTAATTCGAAAAACTTGGAATCGATTGGCTGTACCTTCTCGAGGTTCGGGATTTGTAAGACTGTCCTAAAGAACTGCGCTCCTCTAGCCGGTCGTAATCTTGAGCCGATTTTACTCACGTTGTTGCAAGTGGCGATGACGGAGACATAATGAGATTCTTGGTATTGCGCGATGGTATTAATCAGCATATCGGTAATTCTAAAATTAGTTTACAGTCGCTCGATTAAAGGATCCTATCGGTTAGAACGATCGTCGGGTACTTTGCATTAGAAAATCAATCGGAAAATGAACCTTTCCCGGATTGTTTTTGAGAAATAAAAGGAATACGTTTTGCCTCTCTCTTAAATTAACGATTACCATTCGCAGGGTTGGGAAGTAACTCGTTATTTGTAACGAAGTTACAGTTACTTTTTTTGGTAACTCTAACTTAACTTCGTTACTTTCTCTCCATCCGTAACTGTGACTTAACTCAGTTACATTTTTTCGACAACTAGTAACTAATTTAATAGTTACATTAAGAGTTACTTTATATATATTTTTTAAACCTCCACAGATTGCATTAGGCCTTGCATTTGCGCCTAAACGCCTTTATCGACGCTTTACAATTCAAAGCCAGATTTGACATTTATATTTTTATTGCAAGAAAGTAACTGCAAAGTAACGATTCGTTATTTTTTTTAGTAACTGTAACTAGTTACATTTTTAGCAAAAAAAACCTGTAACTGTAACTAGATCCTTTTGTAAAGCAACTTTCCCAACTCCGACCATTCGGCTCAAATTAACCGACAACTGTAACTCCGCTTACCTGGAAGCGTTTGTCGCATCTATCGTGTTTTCCTCGTCATTTAATGACGCATTGGTAATGCTCTCCAAATCATCCAGGAACAATGCGGACGGTTGATAATATACGCATTCGCTCATGACGGACGTAATCATTTTCTGCAGTGTCTCCACCTTTTTGCCTAATTAATAATTGCTGTGTTTGGTAAACACTACAAGATCTGAGTGATGGACATGACAAAAATTTAACAGAATTCGAAGTGGCATTTTTCAATCATTTTCTGAAAACTCTTTAAACCATTTTTTTGTCGAGTGTAGCATAGATGTGAACGAGGGGTAAACCGCTGACCAAAATCATGTATGTACACCAATGCCTGCTAATGCCCAGCGGGCAGTACTTTATCTTATTTTCTTTTATTTATCTTGTTTTATCTTATTTAATCTTATTTTATCTTTATAATGCCCCAGCAAAGCCTGATGCCCAAACTAATGCCCAAAAAATGTCTAGTAATGCCCAGTAATGCCGCAAATCTGTACACCGCAATGCCCTTAGCGGTTTACCCCTCGATTGTGAATTTAATTTGAAAATAGCGCAGCTTTAATGAATCTGGTGCTAAAGCGAGCACCAAAGTTTACAAATTAAAATTTACAGTAAATCTTTTTCCTACATTGTGATCCAGTCTCAGACAAAATTATTAGGCACCCTCATAATTATTATTCTACACCGAGTCTAATGCCAGAAAAGATTTTTATTGTTTAAAACTGATTTTCTATAAACACTCTAGTAAACAACTTTTAAACAATAGAAATCTTCCTGGTACTAGATTCAGTGCAGTATAATGATTATGCGAGTGCCTAATAATTTTGTCCGAGGCTGTAAATTGGAATATGATCACAAATTAAATGGATTTGCCGCACCGTAATAAAATTAAGAGCGATCGTTTTACGTATCTTATCGCGACAAAAAAAAGATAAGCGTTTGCATTTGAAGCTCTTCAAAGGTTTGGGTGTCCGACGAAGATTGCAGTTCGCCGCGATATCGCAATTAATATTGCGCTAATTGCGCTAATTGCGCGGAAAGGCGTGGCGCAATATTACCTTTCAGCGACCTGCAATCGATCACGTGCGTATGCACGAAACACGGCGCCCCGCGGTAACGCTCGATTAGCATTTTGCAGAGGGTCGTTTTGCCGGAACCCACGTCGCCGCAGATCAGAATGTTTTCCCGATCGTACCGGAAGTCCACCGGCCTTCGCAGACCCAAGCCGAGATCGAGCGCGATCTCGCAATCCTTGAGGATACCTTCCGTAAACCTGCAAAGTTTTCTTTATCATCGCGTCTTATAAGTGTCTGTCCGAAAGACCCCTCATCCGTTTACGCGAGTAACGATTCGAAACTCATTATTATCGAGCCGGTCTATAAATGGCAGTTATAAAGCCATAGACAAAATTATTAGGCATTGCTGATTATTATATTAAATTACACGTACATGTGTATAAAAATAACACGTTCAGCTTTTCAATGTATACTGTACTGAATTTAATGTTAGATAGATTTTTATCGTTTAAAAGTTGTTTGCTGCATAGAAGCAATGAACGCTAAACAATTTTTTTTAATAGAAATTTTCAAGGTATTAGAGTCAGTACAGTGTAATAATTAGGAGGGTATCTAATAATCTTTTCAATGGCTGCAAGCGCCACGACACATGCATCCCCCGTAGCACAATGCATCGGCTAAACTAAATATTGATTTACATTGGCTTAGTATTGGTTATATTGGCAGTGCATTGGCCACTGTTTCCCAATGTAAAACTATTGGCCATGGAATAAATATTGCAAATACTCTGCGTGACAATAATTATATATTTGACTTATACTGAAAATGCATCAGCCAATATTTAGCAGTGTAAAGTGAACAATGATACCCTAGCAGCACAGTGCACTGATTAAACATTGGCTCAATAGAACCAAATATTGGGCCAATTTTAACCAATGTTTGGTCACTGTGCTACTAGGGTATTAGACCAATATTGCTGAATAGACATATTGGCTAAAGAGGAGCGTCCGTCTTACAATATTGGACCAGTGTTGGGAATATTAAATTTACGTTATTTCCCAGTAATGCGCCAATACATTGTGCTACTAGGGGCGTCATTACCTCGTGGAAATTTTCTCCATCCTCAAACCTTCCTCGGAGCAATTCCAGGAGATTTCCCCGTCGCTCGGATCCGCACGTGGAACCACCACGGCCAGGTCCTCCGCGTCCCTCCCGTCTATCGTCGCGTAATCGCAATCCGCGGGTGACAGTCGTACGGCGCACCGTTCGCCGCCGTCGAGCAGGATCGCCGCGGCGGAATTGAGCAACAGCGGCTCGTGCCTCGCGTGGAGTTTCACGTAATTCTCGAAAACCTCCTGCGTGACCGAGCCACCCGAGGAGAAAACGTTCACCGACGACGGCCTCGGTCGCTCGTCCTCCTCGAACGTCCGCACGACCACTCTGCCGCCAGCCTTCAACCCCAGGGTGATCCCCAAACTCGCCGACACGTACGCGCGAGAGTGGACCGAGCTCAGGTCGAAGTACCCTCTGTCTAGTGACGTGGAACACCCGTTCAGAGTATCCTCGAGAACGTAAATTTTCGCGACGAGCTCTCGCGGATGCTTGGACGAGGAATCGTCGTCCTTCAGGAAATTCGCGCTGGTGACGTGCTGCCGATTCGCCGGCACTTTTCTGACTCTACCTGCGAACGAATCGACCGCTTTAATTCCAGTTGCGATAAAAAAAAAGAATTAGGAGGATCCCTCAATCATCTTTTTTACCGACACAGTCAAATAGAGTTTTTGCGCTTGTAATTCTTTCTATTGGCTTTTGTGTACAAAACGTTATTTATTATTTATAATTGCTCTTATTATAATATTTTAATTGCTCTTTTTCATATAAAATCGATTGTCCCTGGTTTTGTCTTTATGCGTACTTAAATCGTGTGAAAGAATTTTACAATTTTACAAAGCCAATTTCAAAGCACAAACTACAAATTGAAAATTTCAAATACCAATTCTTTTTATTTGACTTCTGAACTGAGATTGTGTTTTAAGTATGAAAATGTTCTGCTATGCGGTCCGCAACTTATCCTGGTATTATTTTGTCCATAAAAGACAATAAAAAGAATTACAAGCGCAAAAACTCCATTTAACTGTGTCCGTAAAAAAGATGGCTGAGGGATTCGCAAACATTTTAAGCAAAATATTCTTTACACATCGTCGTCCCGTTCGGTCCTGCGCCTCTCGGCAAACAACTCCTCGGGATCAGGACGTGGTAGGGACACCGCAGGATCATGTCGTGGACGTTCGAGCGATCGTAGGACCGGAAGTCCGGCAGGGGATACGCGCGGAAGACGCGAGGCGCGCTTCCGCCGCGAAAGCTCCGCAGTAACGCGTGATTCGCGGCACTGTCCTTCGAGTCGCGACAATCTCCGGCGAAGTAAGGCCAGATTTTGGCCAAAAGATTGCCTATCCTTGCGGTTGCCCCCGGAACGGCCGCGTCCTTTGTCGTTGCGCTCGCGACCGCGTCGAGCACATGCACCTCCGTGAACTCCTCGAGCAGCCCATACGCGAATCTCGGCTCTGAGTCCTCTGTAAAGATCACGCGCAGGACATCTTTTTAATGTCCTTGGCATTGATTAAAATGCTAAGATACTTTTAACTAATTAGAATATCGAGATATTTATGTACCTGAGAAATAGCTGTCGTACAAAATTACTGATTTTTATCGCAATCGAACGCTCTAATTATTTATTTCGTTATTTTGTTCTTGAAAACAGCATTTGAAAGCAAACTTTATAAAAAACAGGTATCACCTATAAAAATATTGTAACAAAAACAACTTATATTTGTTGTAAATGATACTTAGCCACACAGAGAGTCGAAATCATTTTGCATTTCGACTCTCTGTATGGCTAAATGTCATTTACAACAATTGGTCTCCTGGGTGCAGATTTTTACATTCAACTGTGATAAATTTGACCAAGTCATTTGGCAAATATTACAAATCTATTCTGATATATCCCACAATGCGTACATCTTATTAAATATATTCTATATTTTATTATATTAATAACAAACGACTTGGTCGTCAAATTTTTCGACTCCTTTTCTTTCCCGTAATTCGAAAACTCCCTATTAATAGCGAAAAGTCCTCTGTTTTGAGATAGATCTGATGTAACTAATATGAAATAGCAGGTTTTCAACGCCCAAATTCAATCACAAATCTTTTTTCGCAACAATTACACGATTCGACAATGAATCTTTCGCCAAAGAGATTTAACTCCAAGGGCAATAAATTCATAGTGGAATCAACTGATGATATTAATTTGACCGAAACCCCGCTATCCCGTATTAGGATCCTATCTCATAATAGAGGACTTTCCTCCAATAATATTAAAATTGACACAATTAAAAAAAACGGAGTACACCTCAACGTTTAATTGAAAGCGACGACGCTACTTTTCGGATAATTTTACGTGCTCTAGTAACAGAACGGACGACTTGCCCGCGATGAAAGTCACGGAGGAAAACTTGGAGATCCACGCGACGATCGGCTGTCCTCGCGCGACGATTCTCACTTGGCCCAGCAGGCTCGATTGCACCCTCTCCATTTGCAATTCCTACCGCCGAATACGGAACGGTCAATTAACTCTCGCCATTCTCGCGCAAGTCGATCTATGAAAATTAATTTACGTACCAGGAGCTCGCGGTCGCTCGCCGTGCGCGGGGCGATCTTGACGCTGCTTAACGACGGGACGCTTTTCACGGAGGACACGAACACCTCGTCCCCCTCTTGGATGTTCAAGCTCCTCGCGTACGTCGCCCCGATGCCCAACGTTTCATCGTTGTTAACGCGAGCGACGCACGTGAGATAGTACTTCCTTCCGTTGTGCGAGACTTCGATCGCACTCGTCTGCAATCAAGTCGTCGCCGCCGCGCAGCGTTATCCAAAGAGAACTCCAAGAATTAAGCGGGGGAGCACACACTTTTGCATAAGTGCATAAGCATATGCATAACGAATTTGATTGGTCCATTTCCATGTGCATTTGCTTATAGACCAATCAAATTCGTTAGTCCCAGTCTACAATAGAGATTTAAGCCCTAAGCCTTAAGAAATTGACTAATCACAGTCGCGCATTCTACTCATACTTGACCGTGATTGGCCAATTTCTTAAAGCTTAG